AGGCCAGTAGTAGGCTCCTCCTGCAGGAATCCTTGGGTTGCCATGGAAACCTGGAGTGTCTGTCCCTCTACTGCTCCACAGGAGGGCCACCTCTGCCAGCAAGCTTGCCTCCCCCATGCTTTGTCTACACCTTTGTGATCGGAGGCAGCCTTCGGAGGCAGCCTTCAGTGACGGTGAGGAGGAAAAGGAGAGAAGAGAGAAGAGTGTCTTCACGGGTCCCTTTGATCTCTACCTAGGGCTGCCTCAGGTTCACCTACGTGCCATCCATGCGCCCTCCAGCAGCTGTCTGTGCTCCCTCAGCACCCCCACCCCAGAAAGACCACCAAAACTGTAGCAGGAATTGAAGCTTTTGAAGTCATCAATGACAATTTTTTTAATCCTTTAAAATCTGTCACTTCAAAAAAAAAAAAAAAAACCCTAATGGTTTTCTAATAAAAATAGCAATGACTATAATTCACAGATGGTTTACTTTTACAGGAGTCGGAATGACATTAACATTTTAATCTCAGATCAGAACACTCTGCCTCTAGGGAGGGCACAAGGAGAGGGCTCAGGAGGGGAACATTTTAACCCCTCCTTTTCCTTCTATCTGGTCGTGAGAAACATCATTTTATAAGAGAACGCAACCAAAATAAAAAATGTGGGTGACTGGAACATTTGGTTGTGTCCAAGTGAATCCTAATTTATTGGATTTGGTATAGCATACCAAGGCAGAGATGATGGGAGTAACTTGACGTGAATTCATTCTATAGAAAAAATTAAAATGGCCAATGTTGTTCTCCTGGTCAACATCATTAATAGACAATAAAAATACAGAATCCTTGTGATCTTGTCTGGGTTTCCTGGTTAAATTAGATTCCTAGATTTATGTCCCCGTAATCCTTAGCCTGAGGGATAACAGAGGACTTAAGACTACAGTGTGTTATTCAAAATAGTTTCTGACAAAGAAATCCAAAATACTACTAAATGATGAATTTCATTCTTCAAGGAAAGAAGAAGCATTTACTCTAAACATGACATCTCGAAAAGACCAGCAAAGTCAAACAAATGTTTACATTTCCAATGAATATCTCCGAATATTGCCAATCCACAAATAAATTATAGGGTAAAATGTATGTATGTGTAAAGAGTGAATGAAGGAATGAATGGGTAGGCCCACAGGGTAAGCACAAAGTACGCCCAAGTAGCCGAATGAAGAGTTTTGGGGCCATCTGAAGGTGATGGTGGCACAATACCCAGCCATGCCCACGGAGTCTGAGGCTGTGCCTTAGCGGGATACCTGTGTAGATGTGGGCTTCTGTCCCCTTCCTCCTGCTGAAATGGAAGCCCAGAAGCCTCCCTCATTACAGAACCTTTGGTTTTACCTCTGGAGAATTTTCCTGGGCACAACCATACCAGAGCCTCAGAAGGAGCCTGGGGAGCAGGTCTAGCCTTCTGGCTCCCAGAGGAGCATCTGCCTGTCTAACACCGCACCCTCCCCCGCCAATGCCCCATGTCTCACGTTCCCACCCAACTCTTCCCTTGCCATTGTCCCAATCCATGGATCTCAGGAAGGACTCCTTTTATCCCGCCTGCAAGACAAGCAGATCTGCTGTGTGAAGCACTCAGACGCGCCTTCGGGTCCTGTGAAATCTCTAAGACGCTGTGAAAAACCCCTACTGCCTCCATATTTACACCCCTTCTAATTTAGCCTCCATATGCGAACTGGAAAGTGGACGTTCCTGAAAATACTGTCAGGAGGTTTCACTTTTTCTCACTTCCTTTGTCTCAGTGGGGGAGTGGGGCTAGCTGACTCATTGCTCCCCAGCCTTCTGTCTTACGTCTTCACCCCACTTTTCTTTCCTCGCCCCCATTATTTGTCCTATCACCTACGGGCTGCCATGACTTCTCTCCGGTTTGCTGAATGACTTAGGGTCCGGCTCATGTTTTCAATGACCGTCATAACTTATTTTCATCCTTGAAGACATTATCATCCATCGCGATGACTCATCTTCTTATACGAGGACTTCACAATTCCTTATGTTCTGTTTCTAATCTGAATCCACCCTCCCCATATCCCCACCACTTGTGAAGCTCAAGAATATATCTTCATATTCTCCAGGAGAGATGTAAATGTATATGCATAATGGCAAATGTGCAATGCAATATAATAAATGAGGAATCATTCATAGGGTGTTCTGGGAACACAAGTGAAAGTCATCAAAGCCTACTAGAAGTGGATTAACGGCTCTCAAAAATCTAATAATGGGAGTGGGGCTTGAGCTCGGTAATGAAGGATGAATAAGAGTTGGCCAACACACAGGCAGCCGTGGTAGGTTCTTCCCGATCCAAATCATTGATGACATGATATTGTCTCACTTCACCAAGTACCTCCCAGAGCCAAGTCCAACAACCCATTCTTCAGATGGTTTTAAGAAGGAACTTGATAAATTTCAAATACAATTTCAGGAGTCATTTTTAGGAAATTTAGCTGAGATCCTCTTTCAATCTTCCAGGGAATCCACTTTGTCCAGGTTTCCCTGGAGTATTCTTCACGATGTGGCCACCGGTTACATGTGTGGACCCTTCCCTCGTCACTGTTCATGCAGCTAGCCCCCAACATGGTTTTCTGCCCCTTGCTGTTCACAGGCTGCTTTTTCTGCCCCACATTCATCTTCTCCCTCGAACCCTAGACACCCTGGAGAATTCCTGCCCATCCTTCAAGACCACATGGCTGAGATAACTTGCTTTTTCGTGAATCCTACCTAACCCCATCTTGATTCCCCGTCCTTAGATGTAACTCGTCATTTTTGCTCACTGCTGATCTTCCCCAGGAAGCTTGTCTTTGAGGACATTATCTTCCCTCAAATCCCCAGCATTTCAAGATCCACCCACTTCCGTGTTTCGAATGGCTATTGGAAATGTCACTCTGGGAGCTCTTTGTCGTCCTATCCAACTCCCTTCACATCCAGCCAGGGTCCCCATTTAAATAAGAGAGTGGAACTGGAACCTAGTTGTCTTAATTCCATACCGTAGGTCTTTTCCCCATGTTGAGCGCCCCCCCGCCACATACCCCCGATGAGTTCCCCTAGCGATCATCATCGACTCCACCCATTGGGTCATATTGCTGGCTGTCACTCTTCTGGACTTGCATTTTGGGACACAGGTTTGCATGCATTTTGCCTTTGCGATTCGGTTTCCCACAATGAGTTGCCTACGACAGTCAGCGATGAACAGAAAGACGCCATGCTCCCTCCTTCCCGGTGCCCGTCTCACAGATTTGTTCCGCGGCACTCACAGACAGTACCAACTGTTCTTCCTGTTGGCTGCCAAAATAAGTCAGCAGTCGGGAAGGGGGGAAGAAAAAGACTATGAATTATGGAAAATAACTTGGGAGAGAGAATGGCAATACAGTGAGAAAAAGTAACAACTCTCTGTAGCCCCCCACCCAGGTGAGTGTCTCAGATCTCCGCAAACTACAAGAAAACTAAGCAAAGAGCAGCCTGCAGTCAAGCAGGGGCCTCTGAGACAGGACAGTCGTTGAGCACTTGCCCCATTGATCTGACTCAGCGGCCTGACCGCCACCACGGAAGACTCAGGCCCCAGTCCCTTGCACAACCGTGTGTTTCATTAAGACAGATGATCGTGGTGAAGGGGGCAGCTAGATGGATGCGACAGCTAGTGACAGCTAGATGGGGCGTGACAACACAGGTCTGGAATAAACTCAGTTTCCAAATAAAAAGCTTCGTAAACTGCCACTGGCCAGGCATTCTGGAGACAAGTCGGACCTATAAACCCTCCCAGTGCCTGACAGCGTGGGCCTACGCACAAGCTGTGGGTGTCATCGGGATGTGGGCTGGAACGGGGGGTGTCCGCATCTTAACGACCCAGTGCGTGCTCGGGAGCACACGTGTGAGTCTTCTCGTCGTGGTGGCGTTTGTCTCAAGTCCTAAGAAGATGGTCATGAACATGCCACGAGGGGCGCCGGAGCAGTACATTTTCTTAATCTGGCAGAACCTCACCTCCTAGCACCCCCCGCACCTCCTGTCAGTATTTACCAGGCTGTCCGGGATTATTTACGCCTGCTTCCCCCCAAAGCCTGCGAGAATTTACATAGCGAAGGGCATTCCTCACACCTACCCCCAGCTCTGGGAGTTCTTAGGCAATACGCACAACACCCAAGAAAATTATTCTGAAAACACATGGGTGTGGTTCATCATTCTGTGGCTTGAAGACTTTCCTTTGGCCGTGGTCTCCCTCCGCAGCCGTGTGCCCGGGCTGGCTTGCACACCACCGTAGCTTTTGTGGACGCTGCTTCGGTAACACGCTCCTTAAAAATGCTGCAGAAAAAATAAATAAATAAATAAAACAGGATAAAATAAAATAATGAAAATCCTGCAGAGAAATGCTTATTGTGTTGTCATTTACAGAATCTACTAGGTGGTTCTTGCTCATAGGTGACCTTGTCAAGACTTTTTACTTTGGGGCTGCAGCTTTGTAATGTGGGCGTATGAACATTCGATGTATAATAACATACAATAACATGTAGTGGGAAAAAATTATGGAAATGACACAATTTTGTGTGTCCGCTTTATGGGGTCTGTGGGTCTTTTTGTTTTATCGTTTTCTTTCTCATAGACTCAACCTCCCTGCTTAGAGTTGAGGAAAGAAAAGAATCACAGAGGGAGGAGAAGGGGATGGTCTCAGCTCCCAGTGGGGTCAAGGCCTGTGTTTCTCCTTGGCCAGGTGTGGCACGGTCACCACAACTCTCATGTGTGGGCATTTGCAAACATTAATGACAGTGTGAGTACACAGCGAGCACGCTTATTAGAATAAAACCTTTGGGGTTGCAAGTAGATGTAGTAGCGTTTGGAAAAGAAATTAAGGAAAATGTAGTGGAATTAATATTGTTAGCTGCGTTTCTTCTAACCCTCTTCTGGAAAAATCTCTTGCCTGACTGTTTTCCCATCACCATTGTTGGTATCTTCATGCAGTAATGTCTCCTGCGGTTTGTGTTTTAGATGGGAGTCCGAAAAGTGTTTCTAAAATACTGGCACGCCGACCAGCTCAATGATCTGTGCCTGCGGCTCCAGAGAAAAATTATCATCTGCCAAAAAGGTAAGAATCACGCCCTCACCTTTCTGGACCTGTCTGAGTTGTGAAACACAGCGTCTCGTAGGACATCCCCGAGTTGAAATGTTGGTGGGACCTACTCCGTGGTGGGCCCCTCTGTCCTTGCGATGACACCACGTGCAGGCAGGGCCCGGGAGCTGAGACAGCCCTTCCTGTCAACCAGCCGATGCCCGCGTGGCCCTGCTGTATCTGGTAGTCATTCCACCGGAAATTTCGTATCAAAGTTGCACCTCCCTCACAGTTTGGAAGAGGGACCATTTGTCTTTATAATTTACGCCGCCACCACCTTGCAAATATTCACACTTGTTGATCTGAGCAGAAAGCACAGGCAGGAAGACGTAGCTTTGAATCTTCACTGGGAACCGCCGCCCCTCACCACCACAACGAGGCACTGAGATGCCCCTAAGAACCATACATAGGCCATTTCCATCAGTATCACTGGTACGCTGGGATTTTATGGAACCCTCCATGTGCCTTGGGAAAATCCTTGACTCTTCCCTTTCCTTTATAGAGACAATAATATCGGGCTATTACCTTTGATAGCAGACAGCAACAGCATTTTTGTGTTGGGAGAGATCCCTTGCAGAATTTTTTCCCCTGGAAAAACCCAAGTGACCATTGCAAACGGGCACATTAAAAAAAAAAAAAAAATCTTAACTACGCCACCCATAAAATATATATACACTTACTAACATTAATTTTTAATTTGCTTAATGATTTGATTATATTAGATATCATAAATGATATCTAAGGAAAGGTAAAAGAAGGAGATATACAGGCTAGTTTTGGCGGAACCTGTTATAATGAGCTTAGCTCTCTGATCCCTCCGGACATGTTTGATTTTTTTTGTTTTTTTTTTTTTTGTTTTTTTTTAAAGATTTTATTTATTTATTTGACAGAGAGAGATCACAAGTAGACAGAGAGGCAGGCAGAGAGAGAGGGGGAAACAGGCTTCCCGCTGAGCAGAGAGCCTGATGCGGGACTCGATCCCAAGACCCTGAGATCATGACCTGGGCTGAAGGCAGCGGCTTAACCCACTGAGCCACCCAGGCGCCCCCCTCCGGAAATGTTAAACACAGGCACAGCTCGTGGGATGCAGAAATCGGTTTGATTCTGTTCAAGCCTCTGTCCATGGAGCCCCTGCGTGAAATCTCCAAGGGGGGTCCCATCGTTTCTGATCGTTAAAAACCCTGCTAGATGCTGTTGCTTCAAACGGTCTCCACAGAATTGTACAGGCCCAGTCTGAGAAATGCTCAGAAGTCAGAACTACCTTCCAAGTTAAACTATCCCTCTTAGCCGCCACAGGCCCTGCGGGGGTGGGGGTGGGGGCCTGGGGGTGGGTCTCACCCTGTCTACACACCCCTGGGGCTGGCAACAGGAGGGGATAGGGCAGCCCCTTCTGTCTGACTGGCCCCCATGTGGGCTGGCCTTGGGGTTCTCTAACGTGGCTGCAGGTGTTCAAGGGTGGCCCTTGGCTCTGCGGGAGCACACCTGCAGGAGCCTGGGCGCTGCTCACCTGAGAGGTGGCCTGACCTCTCCTGCAGGCAGTCACCTGGACTTCTCCCCCAGCCTCCGGCCCTCTGCCCCCAGTGCTCTCAAATAAGCCCCTTTCAATGACTCCAAGCAGTCATCGCTTTCATAACATGGACATCCAGTGCCTGAGAAACACAGTAGAGGACCCCGGCACAGTCCACCATGTCCTCCAGACCCCAAGGTCACATGGCTGGCTCTCCTCCTGGACTGCCGAAGCCCCTTGCAGCAGCCTGGAGGTCAGCAGTGGTGCAGGGAGCTTTGGGGATGGAGGCAGTCCACCCCAACTCTAGGCAACCCCTGCTCCTCTCTGGCTTATGTGCGTCTGGCCCCTTTGTCCTTCATCCACGGAAGGAGAGGCGGAGGTCGCAGGTCAGTCTGCACTGCCACCATTGCAATTCTGTGCATGGGCTCAGCCACTCCCCTGTTGTGTCCTGTGAGCGCCACCTGGGAGCCAGTCAGAAATGCAGAGTCTCGGGCCCCCCCTCCACATTCAGCGTCTGCCCTTACAGCCTCAGCTGGAGCTGGGATGGGGGCCCCGTCGCCAAGACCAGTGCCCTCACCCCTGAGCTCTGGAGCCAATGGAGAATCCCATTAACTGTCATGGTGTCCACACATAGAATGGGATCCCGAGTTCTCCTGGAAATTTTCACTTCCATACAAGGAGAAGAACGTGTACCCCTTCTTCGCTCAGGGGTGCTTGCTAAGAACATCTCCCCGATTTAACGGCAAACATTCAGGTGATCCCACTGACCTTAAAGTGAAGAAATGAGAACTCTAGGTATTCCTTCATGTTGAAAGATAAAAACTGAGACAGGTCTTAAAAAAGTGGCATCACAATAAAACCATAATTTCAGATTGCATAATTGAAATAATGGAGGTAAAAGTATCTTTAGAACTACAGGCTCTTAAATGCAAAGCATTAATTATTGATTTTTATTTTTGTATCTCTTGGAACAATCCCTTCAGTACTTTTTACTGGTGTGAAATTTACTCAACATTTATACAATCCGGAGTTATTTTCCGTTTTTCAAGGGTTGTCGTTTTTCCTTTGTACATGGTGGGGTTGGGGAGAAAGCCTAAACTCTAAGCATTTTAATACTCAGTGACTCCTAATGGAAGTTTCTTCCTGACCCTACATGTTCACTTGGTCCTGGCTGGAAGCGTCAGGAAAGCCGACTTTTAACTTGTCGGAGAGAGAACAAGTACTGGCGATCCATTGTGACAAATTTGTTTTTACCAGTTGCCTCTTACTGAGGAAAGCAAGTTTCAGCAGTTGGTGTATCATGTTTAAAGAATCTTTAAAGGCTGCCAGTAGCGAGTGTGAGAAGACAGAGTCCCCAGATGTGGGACGAGGGGCCCCCATGAGTGTCCGTGCGGTGAATAGCTCTTCTCTCACGGGGTCACAAAACGTCCTCCGTGGCCACATTAATCTTCGCTTTGTTCTGAAAGATTAAACATCTTGAATATACCCTCACCTTCACCCTTGCAAAAGTCAATGTCTCAGTTTTTTTTTTTACTGTAACAGGAACGAGCGAGCAAATGGACCCATTTGAGCTCTTCTCTTTTCTCTCAGGCCCACTGCATAGTGGACACTTTTGCTTTTACGATGCATTTTTCATACCTGGAAGTCTGATCGTACCTTTCACTGCGAATTCTTTTCCCCCTTTACATGGGTTCAGCATGACTGTTTCACAGCGAACTTAATAACAGCTGCCTTCCAAAGTAACTGAATATTTAGTATTGCCATGGGGGGGGCCTTAAGCATTTTAGATGTCTGCATATTATTTGCCTCTGGAGTCATAATTATGGAAAGTTGTGTTTGGCTTTCCACCTTCTAATCGAATAAAGGCATCAAAATGAATATTCTAGATAAGCCGCACATTTTTTCTTCTATTTGTGAATAGTTTAAAGCACTTAATGTTTTACAGGACGCCCCCCCCCCAAAACAACATGTCTTTGCTACACACGTTAGTTTTTTCCCCTGAGATTTTAGTTCTTCTTAGAGTTCTAGCAACTCCTTCTGACCTTAGAAACTTGGAATTGGAAGGGGCGGCGTCCTAAGGTCAGAAGGCGCGGCTGGAATTTTGCACCTGTTCACGGCACCCAGGAGAAGGGGCCGTTGACCCTCTCAGACACGCTGACTCCCTCTCGCAGGAGCTGGCCCGACCTGTGTGCGCACTCCGCTCATCGTTAAAAGTTCTTCTTCATGTTGACGACAATATGCTTCCCTGGGATGTCCCTGTTGGTGACCTGCTCTCTGGGGAGCTGAAGCAGCATCTGGGTGGTCCAAGGAAAGGGAATGAGTTTGGGTGCATAAGCACGGAGATTTGAAACCTGGCTCTACCCTCCATTGGTGGTGCTTCCGTGGAGGAAACTTTGTAGTTCCACTAAGCTTCTCTTTCTCTGGGTGCACAATGGAGACAATGGTTTATGAATCATCCTTCATATGAATTGGGAATGAAATGATAGAGAGCCCGACACATGAAAATGCCTGTAAATGGTGGGCATTGTTACTTCTGTTTTCAAGTCTTACCATTTGTTACTGACATATTAGCCATTTCAAAGTGTGTTCACTCATTTGTTTCTTCTAATTCTTACACATTTTTCTAGCTAGCACCCCTTCCCTGGAGAGCAGGAAGGATGTCCTCAATTCACACATAATCTCTTTCCAGAGTCTTAAATGCACTGCTCGTTTTTTTTTTTTTTAGGAGTTCAATCATAGTCCTATTAACAATACGTGCGTGTTATTGAAGACAACTTCCAGAAGCCTCAGCCGTCTCTGTTCTACTCGGATATAACGAGAGATGAGCAGTGCCCCCTAAAGTGGCCCAGTTGCCACCACACTGCAGAATTCTCTGTGGTTTAGACCAGGTTCCTCCCCACTGACCTTCTTTCTTTCGTCCGGACCATCATGTCCAGCCTATGTTTCAAAAACAAGTGTGGATGCCTCATTCCTTAGGTTACAGATTTCGCCTCTTAGGTGTTACCATTGCTGAATGCAGATCCCTTTCCAGACATGAGATGAGAAGGTTTTGTAAATCCCAGTTCTGGGTGAGATGCATCTGCCGAGGCATTTGTGTGTTGGGACTGTGTGTCTGGGTTTCGCTTCTGCTCCTCTCACGGACCCATGATTGTGTTTTTTTTATGGAAGTTGTACGAGGGTTTCTAGCACGCCAGCACTTGCTTCAGAAAAGGAGCATCAGACAGCAAGAGGTCACGTCCATCAACAGCTTCCTGCAGATTACGGAAGACATGGGGTTGAAGACCTACGATGCCCTGGTCATTCAGAACGCTTCTGACATTGCACGTGAAAACGACCGGCTGCGGAACGAAATGAATGCTACTTACCATAAAGCGAAGGTGGAGGCCAGACACAAGCCAGAGGAAGGAACCAAAAGGTAAAGGCAGATCATATGCAACTTTAATTACCTTTATCATTGATCCAGTGGAGTCAAGAAAATCCCAGTAGTCCTTAATGCAGGGTTCCGTCGAATATGACGGTGGTTATGGGAACGAGCATGGATGTGCGTGTGTGTGACTTGCTCTTTGAAACCTCCGAGTAATCTAAAAGGGTCCCTTCTCATGCTTTCTTTTCATGCAATGGATGCCCTCTGCTAGTTTCTCCGTATGAGACGGTTATCACTTCCCCTACGATGCTGCATCGCTTACCGTCTCAAGGCCACAGTTTTAAGGGAGCTCATATTTCTGTCTTAGCAAAAATATACAGCTCGGTTCTTGACATCTTTATATAAGAATTATATATATATAAGGTGACTCATAGAAACGTCTGGAAATCTGAGCCAAACAATGGAGAAGCCACTCCGAACACAGAGAAGTGGAATCGGTGCTCTTTAGGTCTTATATTTCCCTTAGTAATTTGTCAGTTTCGTTGCCAACAGGAAAATTCAGGGGAAACACTTTTCATTGTCAAGTTCGCTTTGGACACTGAGCTTGGGATAGGAGTGTGGAGGCGACCTGGTGCTTCTCCGTCTTACCGGTCTTGCCTCTCCCTGGAGGACGGGGACACCCCTGATTCTCGGCCCCCCTCTCGGGAGGGCGGGGACCGGGGTCCTCTCTCGACGACAGGCAGGTGTTTGTTTTTCCGTAGAAACTTGGCATTCCCTGGTCGTTTCTCACGGAAAATGACTCCCCATCGCCTCGGCTTCCTGTGTCAAAGGATTTTTTATTAAAGATGAAATGGCGATGTGTCTCTCACTAATTAGCTTCAAATATCTCCATGATTAAATACTGAAAAACTTCCCTTTGTACGGAAAACTGTAATTAAACATTACAGGGAAAACAAATTATTCACTGAGTGCCCTGCTTTCGTCTCCGCTAGTTCATCTTCCACACGGGTGTCTGGCTCTGCCTCGCGGTGGCTCCCCCACCCCGGCTGGTGTGCTGTCGCACAAAGCTATAATTACAAACACAAACGCTCAGAGACTCCTTGTGCGAGGAACGCACTAGCATCTCCCTGATACACGATTACATTGACGTGTGGAGCCAGAAGGGACTTTTTTTTAAACCAGATAACTATTAATTTTATCTGACTTCCCAAATAATATTTATTATTTTCGCTGCTGGAACTCAACAGCCACCCCAATTTCCCCATTTGATTATGTATTCATTTTGCCTGATATAAAATTAAGTGAAGAAGTCTTTTCCCATTTATTTATTGACTGCCAGCGGTTCGCTTGGCATTGTGCACACCGATGGGGGAACCGAACAAAAATAATCATTCTGCCCATCGTTAAATAATTGCTCGTGGAGTTTCACTGGCAAGGAGAAAAGGGGAGCGAGCGAGAGAGAGAAGCGTAAACCATTGCTGGTGTTAAGTCAAGAGCATACTCTTTGGCAATGGGAGATGGTGATGAACTCCCCGCATTTGATGCATCGGTAACTCTCTATTAAGACGGATTTCCCAGAAATTATCATTCAGATTGAAATTCTGGTTTTTTGATTTGCTTAATAATCCGAGTGTGAAAATTCATTCAGCGAGCGCCTGATAGAAAACGTGGCGGTCTGTTAGCACGTGCCGTGTCGGCTGAGGTTCTCCGTCGCCGCGATGGTCCGCACCGCGCTCGTGCGGCGGCGGGCTGGCCGGGAGGGTGGGCAGCGTTCCCTGGGTGCGGCCGGTCCCGGAGCCCGAGACACGCCTCCTCGGACCGCGGCAGGGGACGTCCGTTCACCGTTCACCGAAAAGCCAGATTATGTCTGCTTGAGCGGGTTCATTGTGACCGTCTCAATAACGCATCTGGGCCCCCCGCTGGGGTGCTCTTTGTGTTCTGTTTCCCCCAGAGCCGAAGATAGGGCTGGACCTAGGCATTGCCACTACAGCTCCGTCCCGGTCCCCTTGGCGGTGGACGGCCTGATCCAGGCCCTGGCTGGCCCGTCCGCCCGGTCTCCTTCTCTGCACTCGGTGTCCAGCCTGGATGATGGCAGCGGCCTCCCCTCACCACGGAAACAGCCTCCGCCCAAGCCCAAGAGGGACCCCACCACGCGGCTGAGCGCCTCCTATGAGGCCGTGAGCGCCTGCCTGTGGGCGGTGGCCCGGGAGTCAGCAGGCGAAGGTCAGCAGGGGAAGGTGGGGGGCGCCTGGTCGGGGGCCCTGGTGCTCTGCCTTCCGGTGTCTGAATGCCCCAGCAGTATCGCTGCCCTAATCTATCTTTAATAGAAATAAGTCCAGCTGTCAGCCTGCCAGCAGCTCTTTAATCACTAAATATAAATCATATGTATTCAGCTCTCCCGGGTGTTAGGGAAAAGCTTCTTGTGTATCATTTCCTCACTATGCCTCCCCCATCAGCATTGTCAGTGTGGGCGAGGGGCCTCAGACCAGAGCACACCAGGGTGTCTGTCCTTGTCCGGGAAAATGTTCACTGATTACAAGCCTAAAATCTCACAATGACTAGTTCATGTGACTGTCACCGCCTAATTACTCATTTTTCAAAGAGTGAAAACAAAGGCAGGACATGTGGGCAGAGCAGGTACTGACCGCAGAGTTCTGTATCCCCTGCCCGCAGGTAGGCCCTGTCGTAAGCCCAGGATACATCATATCTGGAACAAACGGGATCATCTTTCCTCATGGGGTTTGTGTTCTTGTGTGGGAAGACGGATCCTTGACACAGTGAACAAGTCAATACATAAAGTATTTCAGTGTATCACGGCTTCAGAGAAACGTACAACGGGTAGGGGAGGAGGTGCAGGGCGGGGAGTGAAACTCTACAAGGCGTGGTGTGCGGGTTCCGCTAGAGGAACTTCCACCTGGACATGGGATGGATCACAGCTCCTTCCATCAGCCAAGAATACAAAATCATGGTGAAGCCACGCACCCATCTGGGGGAGGAGATGGGTGATACCAGGGGACAGTGGAAAGACTGTGGCTCCGACGCCATGAGCAGTGAAAGCCCCAGCTACCAGGAAAGATGCTTCTTCATCGTCACTTTCAGAAAGAATGGATTTTTTAAAGCTTTTTTTTTTTAGAATCTTTTAAAAGATTTTATTTATTTATCTGACAGAGAGATATCACAAGTAGGCAGAGAGGCAGGCAGAGGGAGAGGGAGCCCAATGCAGGGCTCAATCCCAAGACCCTGAGACCATGACCTGAGCTGAAGGCAGGCAAAAGAATGGGTTTTTAAGAGAATACTTAATTTAAAAAAAAAAAAAAGGCCATCAGTATGGTAATGTATGAGTCATGTCATGATAATACAGGGAGGTAGGAAATGTAGAGAAATTCCTAAGTTTCGGGAGAGGCATGCAAGTGTGTTTCTGAGGTCACGGCACCAAAAACAGCTACGAAAGTTGAAAGCGGCGTCAGGGAAATCTCGGGCGGACAGGCTCAGGGGGACATCAGTGCGAGCGCAGACCCAGCGCTAGAGCCGGATTAGCGGAGATGTGGGGCCCCTCCGACACCCCCACAAACCACAAGAGGCTGTCATCTAGACAGACCGTAAACCCGCTCCCGGGGTGAGGGATGCATCCCATTTCCAGCCCTACTTTCAAACCTCTGCCCAGGATTTGTGGTATAGAGCTGAAAAAATTGCGCCAAAGGAAGCTCCCTTGGGTTTATTGGAAGAGGAAGAACGGCCTCCTGCAGGCGAACACTGATGAGCTGAAGAAATGTGGACTAGACCAGGATAGCATCAGAAGCTGGAAAACACAAAGCGAGACTGACTATCACAGCCCGCCCGAGGCGGCTCCCTGTCCTGACTCCCAACGCCGCACACGAGTGCTACCGAGTTGAGGAGGTCGGCCCCAAAATAGTCCGTCCCATCTGAAAACTCCCATGTGTGCCCGTTCCAAAGCCATCTGCCCTGGACTTGAGATTCTGTAGTATTCAGCTGGTGCCAACTAGTCACGGCATCAGGAAGGGAGAGAAAGTATTGGGGATGACATCAAAACACGTCCGTTAAGAAAAAGTGACCCGAGAACCATAGGAGAGAAGAAATACATATAAAAGCAGGTGACAGGACGTTGCCACTCCTGTGAGGACGCACCGGGCAGTCTCGCGGTTCAAAATGCATGATGGGATGCCATGAGGGTTGCAAGACTTTCAGGAGAAAGTTAAGTTCTTGGAATCTAATTTCAGCTGGCTTGTGACCGAGGTCACCTGTCAGGGTCTCCCGCGCAGGTCGAACCCTGTGAACTAAGAATTTGGAGGTCAGCCCAGGAGGTGGTGTGTTGATGCTGTCTACATTGTGTGTCCTTTCTTACAAGACTCCTCACGCGACTCTATGCCCACCACCGCCTCTCCTGCCGCTGGAGACAACCCCTCCCTCAAACCTGCTAATCCGATAGGGCAGGTGTGCCCGCTGGTTTCCCTACCATCAGGAGTCAGGCCCCGTGGGGGTCTGGTCGCCTGGGTTTCCAATCCATACGCCCTTCTGAGAGAAACCCACCATGCACAGGGGCTCTGGCCCCATTTATGCTTTTGTGACAGGAGTGGAGGTGTCCAGGACAGAGGCCACTAGCCATGTCTGGCTATTGACATTTAACTTCAAATTAAGTGAAATTTAGAACTCAGTTCCTCAGTCATTAGTGACACTGTGGGGTGTGGAACCTCCAAACATGGCAGAAAATCCTCTCAGACACCACTGATTCTCCACGCTTGTACCCTAAGGACAGTGCTGGGCTTTTTGTATATGTCACAAAACTGTCCTTCTGGAGAAGACAGGAAGAAACTCGGATTGCTATTTAAAATGCTGTGTCAGCCTTGATTTCATAAAAACAAGGACCGCAACCCAGTCAGTTTCTTACTTGATCCATTCCTTTTGGCTTCTGAAAAGACCGAGTTCAGACACTCTTCTTTTGCAGGGAAAGCTGCTGATTCATCTCCGAAGGTTACGTAGTGAAGGGAGGTCTGAGAAGGAGAGCCAAGAAGCTTAGAGAAACCAAAGATTAGGTCACATTAAGCCTTTCCCATAAGTTCTCATCCAGTAAACGCAGTCATAATAAAGACAGGCAATGGAGAGAGCTCTTTTATTTTTTTCTCACCATCTTTGTGCCTGAGAAGCATGAAGCAATTTTCTGAGCCAGTAAATTCCGACACTTGTGTGCAAACTATTAGCAAGTTCGGGCCGACTTTTGCAAGTAGAGCTGACCCTTGAACAGCCCAGGCTAGAACTGCATGGGTCCGGTTATACGTGGATTGTTTCTCGATAGTGTACGACCCCGTAAACATATTTTCTCTGATTTTCTGGGTAACATTTTCTTTTCCCTCGCTTACTTTGTTGTAAAGATACAGTATATAATACATATGTAAATTACACGTACATGGACTGTTGCTTCTGCAACAGCATGCTATATCAGTAGGAGAATTCGGGGAGAGTCAAAAGTTACAGGCAGATTTTCAATAGCAGGAGTGGTGGGCACCCCAGCCCCTGTGCTGTTCAAGGGGCAACTGTGCTATTTTTTAAAAGTCTAGGGCTGCTCTTTGCCAAAGTGACTAGGGCAGGAAGAACAGGGCTGCTGCTTCTCCTGTCTAGGGGGTTCCCAGCTCCCAGCTCGTGCACCCTTCTGGAGACTTGATTCTCTGAGCCCACGGTGCACACTTGTTCCCAGGCTTGGGGTAACTGGATGGGGGATTGCAAGAGGTTTTGCTGGAGTAGCAGCAGCCTTCACTGTTCACTCTCCTGTCACGTGATCTCCACACCCTCTAGCCCTTCAGACGACAGCAGCCCATTCCTTAGAAATAATACCTTGTGGAATCCATAATTTTTAAAACTAAATGGCTGTATAACTCCATTCCCAACAAGACCATTTATATATTTATAAATGATACAAATATAAATTCATAAGTTTATATTTATACTAGAATAGTTCATCTGTGTAGCTTAATTTGGAAATAACATTCCATCTCTTTTCACTATCTGTGTTTATCTTTACTCAAGACTACCCCTTGGTACACAGCAGGCGCTCAGGAAGTATTTATGGAACAAATGCATGTTATAGGAATGCATTTCTTTGTATTACTTCCATTCACACAGAAGTCGATTCTTATCAGTAAATCAGAATGACCACAATTTGGCCTTGAGATTTGCTGGATTTGGCCTGTTAGTGCATTTTTCACAGAAGCCCCTTGACTTATATTTTCCTATTAGCTAAAATTTGACAGAAATTAGATATTTGGTGAACACCATCCTGAGAGTATGTTACTGAATAAAGAGTAAGAGTGCGTGTTTCACAACTTAGGACACATGAGTCCATTCGACACACAGTAATTAACTGTACTCCATGAGGCCACCTCCCCCAGAGGGCCACAGAGACCAGGGGGAGATAAATGGGCAAACGAATTATAAGATAGGCAGACTAACAGCAAAGAGAGGAGGTGGTGCAGAACACAAGACAAGGGTGCTCACCCTTGTTGGAACCTAAGAAGGGGCTGGGAAGGACATTTCAGTGATGTTACCCATATGGGGTGAAGTCCAGTGGGGGTAGATGGGGTAACAGCAAACGTTATGGACTCCTCCCACCAAAAAAAAAAAAAAAGAAAAATGTTATCAGGTCGCAATATGTCACAGCTCAGTGGAAGCCCTTTTTCCCCCCTTTTGTAGCTGGTTATAGGTTGATACTACGTTCACTCGTGTATGGGGCTGGTCCGGCGTCCAGCCAGCTGGTGTCTAGCTGAGCATCCTCTGTCCAGGGCCCTATGCCAAGCATTAAGTTTCCTCTGAAACTAGGCAGAATCACTCTGAAGGGATTGGAATATGGTGAATATGTACATGCACAGACAGAACTATTTTCTTGATGAACAAGCTTCTCATTCATTTTCTCTTTCTTATAGATTAACTATGTAGGCACCTTTTTTTCAGGGAGAATAGGGCCAAATAACTTGTGTCCTACTCAAAATGGTGCCTTAAAAGCCACCTGACATGCCTCAGGGAACCTTCAATGGGCATGTATTCTGTGTAAGAACATTTTATCTCCTAAGAGAACCTCAGCGTGACGTTAATTCCCTAGATCGTTGCGCAGTAGCTCAGATAAGAGACGAGGCTGAGAATGTTCGGTTTAACACTTAAGCTACTGTTACAACACCAGGCCTTGCCCTGAAGGTGTCCTGTGACTGTGGAAATGAATGCCTGACCCCATCCTGATGGAGTCACAGGTGTTTTAGCCATCAATATTAAGACTCAAAACATTGTTAAGAAAATTCCTTATTTTTTTAAAGAAAATCCTTAATATAAGTTCATTGTTCATAGCCCTTCCATCCATGTTTAAAATGAATTATTAGTATTTGTGTGAACACACACATACAGAGAAACACCCATAAAAGCAATGAGACTTTAATATTCTGTGGTTTTGTAACTGTATTTTATGAAGACTGAAGCTTCTATTTCTCACGCCCGAAGATTCAAATTCAGTCGTTATGGGTCCCTCCGGGTGGTCCTCAGTCAAGGTCTTTCAAGAGGCTGCATGTTGGTAGTTGGAGTCATCTGAAGGTTGGCCCTGTGCATGCTGGCTCGTCGGCCATGTGAGGACTGGGACGATGTGGGCGTCTCTATCTCCAGATGTTTCCTCCACGTGGTTTATGCGGGGTGACAGCTTTGGTGGGGACCTGGACTTCATACACAAAGAAGCAGCGTGTCAAAGGCACATGCTCTGGGAGAGGGGACGCCAGGCAGCCTCACCTTCACCACATCCCTCCCATCTGTCAGGCGGTCCCAAGGGTGCACCCAGGCTTACGAAGGAGAAACAGACTCGACCTCTTAACAGGATCGGAAACACTATTGTGGCTGATTCTAGAATACAACTCCAACCCACCCACTGGACAAAAACAACTCACACCCTTCCCACATATGAAATACAGTCACTCCTCTTCCAAACCCCCAAAGCCACCTCTCCTCAGCCCACCACGCCCAGACCCAAAGTCCCCATCTCGTTGCGTTGGTCAGACCCAGGCTTCCTGGCAGCTCAGGTGCACAGCTCTTCCAGGATGCCCCATTTGGTCCAAAGACAGGCTCTACTCCTTGCAGTGAGAAGACCCTGCAGGGATGGGTGCATATGCCCTTGACTGGAGATGGCACACTTGGAAGGCACACAGCAGTTCTGAAGGACACCTGGGCACAGGTTGCCCGGGCCTTGACTAGGATTGAGTCCTGGTACCTGGAAATGGTTTTCTGTGGCTCTCAGGCCCATGGTCTGCAATCTTGGCTCACCTTTGAGTTATAATTCCTAATGCGCAAGAGGCAACTTGCTTGGGGCTGGTCTCTCTCAGCCTGCTTTCAGCTCATAACATCCTGAGGCGCCAGAACTTGCCATTTGGTAATGACTCTGCCCTTTTTGGTAAACACTGATACAATTCCTTTAAAAGCTTAGTGAGTTTCTTGTGAGTCACTCTGTAATCCACTCCAGTGGTAAAAAGCCACAGACACTAACTTTTTGAGACAATGTCATCTCTACTCTGGGCTCTCTACAGGAGTTCTCTGGAGCGATAATCTTGATATTCTTAGGAGTCCTACAGTGTTGCTGCTTGGGAAGTATGCATGAGACACGGCTTCAGATCTTTTTGAGGTCTTGAGAAAGGGTTTCAAAGTCATGACCTTGGCTTCATCTTTAGCTAGGTTTTCAGGGAAATGCCACAGACTTCATCTCTGCCTGGAAATCACATCTTCACTCCAGAATCATCTGCTGTCTGGACAGCGTGGCAGTGAGGAGCTGTGTTATTTTCAAAAGGGGGAGAGAGAGAAATTCCTTTATGGTTTATAGTTATAAAGGAGTTCTAGCTCCTTCATAGTCATTAGCTCCTTGTTTAGCTTATGTCTTTACTCTCACATTTTACTAGCGGCAGCTAGAATAATCTGGAAGGCAGCGTTCCCACTCCACCTGCAGCCCTCCTTCACTAGATCGTCCAGCTCCGTGGGCATCCCCGCAGGGGACACTCTCACGAACCCTTCTGCGGTGGCATACAAAGGGTTGCGTTTCCTCCAGCTTCCAGCATCTCCCTCACTTTCCTTGAAGCCGCCCCAAGAGCCTTCTTGAGAATCACCACGCTTCCGCTCACACTGTCATCAAGGTTCCTCCGATCTTCCAAAGCCACCACCATACTTTTCAAGTCACTTTGCAGCAGCACGCGGCCAGTACCGATATTGGCATCAGTCCTCTGCCGCTGTGTAACAGTCCTCTCCAAACTCGTCTTAAAAGAACAGTGGTGATGATCCTCTCTCTCTCACGGTTCCAGCAGCTGGCTGGGCTGAGCCACAGATATGGTCAGACAATGGCTAGTGCCGGAACCATCAAAGACTTGGTCCACTGTGTATTTCTGGTGTCTGGGCTGGAGACACCTGGACTGGTGAGGCCTGGAGCAGGTAGGGTCGCCTGGCATCTCTCACTTCTGTGGCCTTTCCACATGTTCTCCACAGCGGGGCTGCTGCAGGGTAGACAGACTTTGTGCATAGAGATCAGGGCCCCCAGGACACGTCCCAGGGGAGCAGGAGCCAGACTAAAGCCATGCTGCCCACCACCGGCCTCAGAAGGCGGGTGGCTTCTCCTTTGTCACAGTTGATTCATCGGGGCTCAGTCACGGAGGCCCTGCCGGTTTCAAGGTTCTGGAAGAGCATGTGGGATTGAAAAATATTGTTGAAGCCAGTTTTGGAAAATACAGTCTGCCACAAATCCTTTAAATTATTCAAATCTTCAGAACAATTCGGTAATTCTAATGTTAAAAATTAGTGTGGTTCATTAACTTTCCAGAAGCTTATGAGCGGCTGTGTCTTAGCACATTGAAAGCCTTTGGAATAATGCTTATGAGTTACAGAATTCTGCATTTTTGGCATTTTCCATTCTTAGAAGTTGGCTGCTTTGGTGAACCCTGTAGAACACTGGCTTACAAAGATGTCCAGTGGGCTAGAAAATTAGCTTTGTTCTTTTTCTTTCTCTCTTGGATATCTCCCATTTGACTCATGTTTACAATGTACCAGAGTAGGAGCTGAGCATTTCTCTCCCTTTTATTCCTCTGAGATAATGACCGATATCACCATTTTGCGTGTGACGATACTGGAACTTAGATTTTCCCAAGACCTCTTTTCTTCACCACCCTGGAACCCCCTTCCTGTGGCCTGCTGTTCCTGGTCCTTGTGGTGTGTATCACATTCCAACACGCGAGAGAATTTACTCATCTGTTTTATTTACTTGCTGTTATTGTCTGACACCTCCCACTAGGGCAGAAGAAGGAAGGGAACATTCTGTCTGTTCACGAATGTGTCTCAGTTAAATACGGCTTGAATGCACGCCTAAGTGAACGATGGCACGAGTGAATGATCACTCTGGCATCTGAGTCCAGAGCTGACTCCAAAGTCCTTACTGTTAGCCATGAGACCCCATAGGCACCCCACAACGAGAGACAGAGATCGCTGTTGGACATGCACAGGGACCGAAAAACCCGGCTGCCTGAAACAACTCATGAACTCCGCAAAATTAGCTGCACTTATATACCTTCCTTCAGATCAGTAAAATACCAAATTAATAAAACAGTTCAAGATTTTCTAGAAGTTTTGCTGCTTCAGCAAAATTTGCGCAGTTTTCTGACATGAACATCTCAGTTTCCAGAGAACTTATAGTTAATAAGAATACTATGACAATTTATGGTAAAAATATATTAGAAAAAAGAAGTCTCTTGGAATGTGGTGGGGGGGGGTTAACGTAACCTTTAATAAGTGTCTTAGAGTCGTATTTAAGTGGTTCTTCTTTCTCTTTCATTGTTTTTCTGAGTATCTCCCCTGTTTCGGCCTAACAAGTTTCTGTCTTTGAAGTTTTTTGTTGTTTTGTTTTGTTTTATTTTAAATAATATCTGCGCCCAAGGTGGGGCTCAAATTCTCCACCCTGAGATCAAGAGTCGCACATCCTACCCCCTGAGCCAGCAGGGCGCCCCTCCCCTTAGAAGATCTCTGTGAATCATTGCCCTCTTGATTTCCCTGTTAAATACGTGTTTCTCTTAAGGATTCAAATATGTCGTAAAACTCACGGTGAGCGTCGTGTTTCATCAAGTTCTTTTCTAAGAAAATCTCTCCATGCACGTTGGTGTTTTTGTTGGTGTTTTGTTCACTGTGTACCCCTTACAGTGAGCCTAGGCATTTCCCTCTGGAAGCATCCATATGCCACTAACTAGCTCATGGGCTTGCTGGCCCCAGTCTTTATTTTCTGGCCTCCAAAGTCTTGAGGATCGGTTCAGCCAACACTTTCTTCACAGCGGCCTCAGGCCCCGCCGCACAGATGTGCTGGGTTCCTGCAGCAGAGCCGAGGCGGGTCCCAGGGCTTCCCCAGGCCTTCCCCTTCACAGGTGGCTGGCAATGCCGGGCCCTCTCACGGCGCCCAGGACGCCTTCCCCAATAGCTAGCTCTGGTCCCCAGCTCCAAGATCCGGATAGGTTTTCTCGTTGGCAGCCTGAGGCTCTGGAAGGTGGAGGGAGGGAGGCAGGTAGGGGCTGGCGGTGGGGCTCCGGGGGCCTAGTTAACCCCTGGCACTTCTCCTGTTCCCCCCCGCAGGGCTCACCCGACCCCGACCTCACAGCGACGACTACAGCACCATGAAGAAAATTCCTCCTCGCAAACCCAAGCGCAGCCCCAACACCAAGCTCAGCGGCTCCTCCGAGGAGATCGCGGGCGCGCAGCGCAGAGGGGGCCCGCAGCGCGCGCCGGGGGTCCCTGCGCCCCCGGCGCCCCCCGCGCCCCCCATGCGCGCCCCGCTGGAGCCAGAGCCTGAGCCCGTCTACATCGAGATGGTGGGCCGCGCCGGCAGCCCCGAGCAGGCGGAGGCCGTGTACGAGGAGATGAAGTACTTCGCGCCCCCCGAGGCGTCTGCGTCGCCCCCTCTGCTGAGTGACACTCGGAACCCTGTCACCTGCGAGGATGGCGAAGGGGGTGGCCAGGCCGCCGCCGGGCCCTGCAAAGACGCGTGCGACATCCCGGCCCCCTTCCCCAACCTGCTCCCCCACCGTCCCCCACTCCTGGTGTTCCCCCCGACCCCGGTCACCTGCTCCCCGGCGTCCGACGAGTCGCCCTTGACGCCCCTGGAGGTGAAGAAGCTGCCCGTGCTGGAGACCAACCTCAAGTACCCGGTGCAGGCTGAAGGCTCGAGCCCCCTGTCTCCACAGCACGCCAAGAACCAAAAAGGCGACGGGGACAGGCCCGCGTCCCCCTGCCCGCTGGCAACGAGCGGGTCCCCCCCTACGCCCCCTCCCCCTCCCGTGCCCCCGGCCCCCCGGCCGCCCACGCACTTCGCCTTCCCCCCGGAACCCCTGGGGAACGCAGGCCGGATAGCGGGCCCCAGCCCCGAAGTGCCCAAAGCGCCCCAGCCGCCCAACTCCGCACCCGCGGGGGGCCCGTGCAGCTCCTTCTCCAAGGCCCCCTACTCCCCCGGGAGGGCAGCCAGGGCCGAGCACAGGAAGGCCAGCGCCAGCCCCTCCTCCCCGGTGCCCTACAGCCCCCCAAACTGCAGGGCGCTCGGCAGCCCCCTGGACGAGCTGACCAGCCTCTTCAGCTCTGGAAAGAGCGTGCTTCGGAGGTCCGCCGCGGGGAGGAGGATCAGGGAGCCCGAAGGTAGGGGAACCAGCGCCCAGCTCTGTGCCTGGAGATGGACGCCCATCTCCGCCTCCATGCGCGCACGCACCACATGCACACGCTGCTGGGGGGGCGGGGGGGGCCGTTCCGAGCAGACGGCAGCTTAAAACATCGAAGGTGGCCCATGTGGTCCAGTAGGTGAGAATGCCTGTGTCCATTTCGCACCGAAAGGCTCCTGATCTAAAAACACGTAGTACCTAAGCGGGGTTCAGTACGTTTTCATGACGTGTAAGTATTAGAGCAAGATTAAATCTGAGCTCCCGTTCTCTTTTCTCGGATAATGCTCCCTTCCGACGCGAAAGTGGTATTTTTGTGGCGTTATCTGGCCGATTCCCATTTGATTCGGGGTTCACCGTGAATGCCTGAGTGTCCTTCTGTCTGGCTGTCCATCTCCTTTCCGGGCCGGGTGTCTGGGGTGAAGACCTGTCCATCACTACCTTGTACTTAACACAGTTCACCTTTACGTCGCTTTGGATGAATGATTGTCCTTCTGCTTGTGTACCACCCAAGGAGCATTTTAACCCCTTAAGGAAGTTCTAACCGGTCTCTTCAGTCATGATCCATTAATACCCACCCCTCCAGGTAAACAGTAACTATTAACAACCTCGCTTTATAGGCTGGGATGGGAAAATTCCAGGTGAAGAGGTTAAAGGCCTTCTCGAGGTCAGGTGGTAGGATTGGAAGTAAAATGTTGCCTAATGATGTAACTTTTTATATACACATTAACCTGCTGTCTCTCCAAAAGAAAATACATAAACATGTTTGCTTTCATCATCTGATTAGGAAAATAACTTTTCCATTCAGGAAAATTACAAAAACTCTAGAAAATCTAGAAAGCCATCTGAATAAGTGAAAAGTAGATCAAGGTAAGAACTCTTAGCAAATGAATAAATAAACTACTCTTTATTTATTCTTCAGACAAATACACTAATTGTTTATTTTGCTAATGATTTCTTAAGTATAGATCCATTAATATATGAAGTTGTCTTTGTAAGTAGAAGAATGTTAGAATTTCACAAGTCATATCTTGTATTTTTTTTAAGTTTTATTTATTTATTTGACAGAGAGAGAGATCACAAGTAGGCAGAGAGAGAGGAGGAAGCAGGCTCCCCACTGAGCAGAAAGCCCGATGTGGGGCTCGATCCCAGGACCCTGAGATCATGACCTGAGCTGAAGGCAGAGGCTTTAAACCACTGAGCCACCCAGGTGCCCCTATGTGTTGTATTTGAAGGAACAAAATGGAATCTATGAGAAAAGTATAAAATGAACAAATTAATATTTGCTTTTGGAACGAAAAGTTAATTAAAACCTCATAAAGCTCATTTTACCGTAGTTAGGAATTGGGTGAATTCTTCTTGACTCTGCTCAGAAAAGCGAAGTGAATGGATTTCTGGGTGCACCTCGTCATCTGGAAATCCCTTAGCTGAGGACTCTGTAGTGGGGAATATAGCAGGGCCTCCAGGCGTGGTGTGTGAATTTGCTAATTATATTTCCCTGTGGTGGCATTAGCCAGTTTTTGAGAACACATATCGAAACCTCGAGTACAACACTGTTAGTTCACATCTATGATTATAAACTACTTTTCTACTGTGGGCTTTTACCAAACACTCTTCATTTGAAAAAATTGTCTTGAACCACATATGACTTTCTCATAAATACATGAATTAGCAACTTCTGCCCCAGCACAGTAGCTGTCATAACCGCAAATGGAACAGTAGGAGACCGGGTGGTCCCCGCACACCAGATGGCAGGAGTTACAACTCCACGTTTGAGAGCTGGGGGGTTCTTGATGGTCCGCGATGTGGGAAATAGGTTTGTGCGTTCACATGTCATGTTCTCGTGGGATCTTACAGGTCATTCCTTTAGAATAAAGGGGGCTAAAGATAAGACGTGGGGGAAGAGCGGGCTTCGTGCTGAAGCTAATCACCAGAGCTGCTCCCTGATGATTAAGGTTTACACAGTTGGATCCCAGAGTCAGTAATCCATTTTCTTCTGAATGAATTGAATGGCCCTTATTAACGATTTACTGTAGTCTTGGGATTTCTTCCCTTTAAGGTTTTAAATCGTCTACTTTACCCTCTTTATATTTAAAGATATTCTTATTTTCACCTGAAATGGCTTTCTTACCAAGTAATTCAGTGGGTGGCAAACTCACCCTCCGGGCACCTGAATTAATTACAGTTCATTTCGTGCAGTTGTTGTCCGGGGAAATTGTTCTGCAAATTTTGCAGAAGCGTTCAGAATATCCCCCTTGCTTCTTTGGAAAGCGACCTTGAGGAGATGACACGGCTCACTATTACCCTACTGTGGGCATTTCCAGTTAAGTAGAAAGGACAGTGAGTCGTGTGTAGCAATGAAGCCCTTGGGTATGTAATTCTGCTCCCTCACTTCCGCAGACTTGGAGGATTTCACAAATATTATCTTCCCCCAAACGGTTGATTTGCTGTTGACTTGAGGGCATGCCACCTGAGGCATATGAAGTCCCTCAGACTCTAAGAGTTCAGGATGAGTGGCATGCAGACAGAAGGCTGTGGATGGCGACCGGCCCGCAGCCCCAGAGGAATAGTGGTGGCAGACAATGGCCATAGTGCTTATAGTTACTGTTTTCATGACCCAGCTAGTTCTCTCAAGATGAGAAGCTGTCTGCTACTATTATCCCCGTCTCACAGTTGGGAAAAATGAGGCCCAGAGAGGACCCCCGGGCCCTCAGTGCCATCCTACCGTGCGAGCGCCATGACTTATCTCCCTGCGTGGGGGGCCTCAGGCAGCAGGAGACAGAGGACAAGGGTTGAGTCGTTCGCACTGGAGTCCTAGAGTTGGGGTGGAGAAAAGGGTTTTACAAATTTAAAAATGCCCAACAGGTACGTGACAGCTCCAGAGTGCGTATCCAGTTTTGGAATATTGTATGTGGGCCGCTTGGCCCTTAGCATCTAGAGTGACTAAAAGTTTAATGATCTATGCAGCAGTTATCCCTTTCTTTCACAAAATGTGCTTCATCTGATATTATAACATGACTAATATTATTATGCCAGAGATTTCTGGTTGCTTAGTTTCAAAAATCACGAGACCGAACGTGAAGGGAAGGAGAGATCCATTGGCTCGTGTAGACCACTAGGGTGCTCCATTGCTCCAGACGGTGTCCCGCTGTCCGGCTGAGTTTATCCAGAACGGAAACAAAATGAGCAGAGACCAGGATGATAGGACTTTGACAAAAATGTGGCACACCTTGGAGATCTGGAGAAGGAAGGAGGAGAGCCCCACTGAATTAAGGAAAAGTCTGGTGTGCAGAATATTTCTGCCAAAATTGTCTTATGACTTTTGATATTGTGCATCCATAGTTTATAAGATATAAGTAGGTGGTTAAAAATGATGTAAATGACAACAGAAAATGTACAGCATTTCTTTGCATAGAGTAGGTGTTTATTAAATACCTAGTTGACGAAAAACTACCTGGAAAAAAAAAAAGCAATTTGCCATATGACTGTATTTACTAGACCTAGCCCTTGAGTCATTTTTACTTAAAGAGACTCACCTAGCCCAGATGGAAATCACTGTTCATTTCATTTTATTCTTTTGCATTTACATTTACATTTGCATTTATTTTATTGCATAAACATTCTGAGTAAGAATATTTTGAGTTTTAAATCAGTGTTCTATCGCTGAATTTTCACAGTTCAGTATTTTATCCCATTGGGACATTTGTTTAAAAGGGAGTTCTCTTTTTAAAGTTGGCCTTATGGAAAATATCAGACATTCACAGACGTCGAGGGACTGGATGAACGGACTCTCTCCGTGGCCCAACCTGCCTCATCCCCAGGCTTGTCCAGCCCTCTCCTTCCGCACTGGATTGATGTGCAGTGCATTCCAGTGTCAAATCATTTATTAATAAATATTTACAAATTATTTTAAAAGTCCTTTAGAAAACAATAGAAGATTTACTCTGACATCACTTCAATCTGTCCAGACCAGTGGATCCATTTCAGCCTTCCCTGACGTGAGAGAAACCTGTCTCTGGAAACCGAATATCACTTTTCACAACAGAGACTAGATGACTCTCGGGTGAGCTTCTCCCGAAAGAACACTGAAGCCAGTGAGGTGGGCGGTGGGCACCGGCAGCCCCTTGTACCACCATGAAAGAGAAAATAGAATTAGAAAGGGTGGGTCTCTAAATATGACACCCAAACAGAACCGAGAATAAAAGACCAACATTCCAAAAAACATACAGTCACTTCTGAAATCAATATTTTATAAGGTTTAGATGCCTCCATGCCAAATTAAGTAGTTACTTATTCATTGTTTAGTAACAAGAAGAGTGCTTTAAAATCACCGAAATGTCATGAAATCACTGGCAGGAGTCTGACTTGCTGGAGGGCGATGTCTAGAAGCTGCCATTCTCTGCCTGCGCTGGAAGCCCAAGTTTGGACACCGTCTCCGTTCGGCATCTGACGCATTCTAATGAGATCACAGCAGAAGAAACTGCTGTGCCTCATGCAAATCTCGGCCTCCCAGAACAGGACGCAGAGGCTGGCATCCCCACAGCTTCCTGCCTCTCCTGGGGTTCTCCTAGCACTTTGTCCCGTGCAGGGCCGGTGGTCCTCCTCCCTCCCTGCACCGTTTCTCTCTGTCATGATTTATTTCGGGGGGTGGAGGGCAAGAGGTAGAGGGGTGGCCTGAGGCGTCTTGAAAATCATGAAGGGCGTGGACAGACAGACACATAGTTGCCTGACGTGCCGCTGTCCACCTTCCCGCCTCACCTGAGAGCCTGCCTCTCATGAAAGCAAGGCGTTCCTCCGCATTCTGGAACCATCTGAAGTCAACACTCAATGCCCCTTATTTTCCAAATGAGTAAAGACGAGCTTAACATCCCAGACAGGCAGGTTCTCTATTTCTCACCAAGTGGCCAGGAGGTAAGGCTGTGCTGTGAGGGTTTCCCCAGGCCGAGGAGCCTGAGAAGGAGACAATGCCTCTCTGTGAGAAAA